TGCTACCCTCATCGCTGGGCAAATACCTTCCAAGGATGTCTGCTAACCTTGCTTGTCGTTTCCTTGATGTCGTGGATGCAACTCAGCTTTTGGATTCCGAGGGGTGTCAGACAGAAAGAGGGAGCGAGAGAGAGAGAGAGAGACAGAGAGACAGCAATTCAGAATGGTAGCACTAGCATGTCCTTATCCCAACTTAAATGCTGAGTTTACCTCGACGTAGCGCCAGTTTTGACTCTGAAGTTTTATCCTCGAACCCAAGTTCTTGTTCTAAAGACTCCGAAATCCTCTCCAACTGTTGGCTGTAGCAGGTCTCATTGATCGTGACGACGGAGCCTTTATGGGCTGCAGTGGCTGCTGCATGCATCCTCGGTGAAACGTTCCAGCTCAGCGACTACATCGGTCCCTTGACAAATTTGCACATTGGATGACCTGAGTTTGCAGAAAATGAGAAGGGGATAATGGGGAAAACAACAAATGAAGAAAGCAAAGGAAGAGTTGTGCTGGAAAGGGAAAGCACGGAAAGCAGACGCACAAAACTTGTGCTGTGTCAATGTTCATCGAAAGGCGAAGCAAGGCAAAGCCAGGCAGAAGCGCAAGCGAGCGAACGAACGTGTGAGAGCGTGTATGTTTGTGTGCATGCGGGTCACATGTCTAGAACGTGCACGGCCACGTTGCCTTCTTGATTGACGCGCATTTCATATCATTTCGTTTCATACAATTGCATACCGGGCAGGTTCCATGACAGTGCACCTACGTTGTGCCAGGTAAACTGTTGTTTCGAAACATTGCCTTTAGGTGCCCCAGAAGTGCATGAGGCTTCGCGGTTTGGATTTGTTCGGTTTTGAACAATGGGTTTCTTTCTTACGCAATTCCAAGCGTATAGTTATGGGTTGGGTAGTGGTGTTGATGTTCGTAGTCACTAGGAAGATGTGACACCCGCGTAGAGGGAACCTGACTTTTGGAATATGACGTTTTTGACAACCTAGGGTTTCAGCAGTGGGAACTTCAATTGAACAAAGACCTAGACCTAGGAGCAATGTGTCAACATGACCTTGTATCTTTTGTTCGAGAACTACTTTCATGTCATCCAAATCTCATTCCACTTGGTCGATATTTACTGTAAGGAGAAAGGCGTGGGTTGCCTTGAACTGGATTTTCAACATACGAGTCCGTTTTGCTTCCCAGTGTCCCTGTCAGATTTCAGCGCTGAGGTTGCATTTGCGTCATGGCCGCGTTGTTGTGCAATGAGCCGCTTGGAATTGCTTTGAGTGTGAAAAGTGCCAAGAAAAGTGTTGAGGCACTAGAGGCCATGAGGTCGCTAGAGGCCATGCCTTTGAAGCTATGTGCGGTGTGCGGTCAAGGCTCTGGAAAGAGCTGCCCCAGGACGACTGGTGCTTTGCGTATCGAAAGTGTTTGGGGCCAAGACCCGACACGAAAGTGTTCGGATTGAAATCGAGGCACAGGCGGCCCCTACTAGCGTTCCTAGTAGCGAACATGGCTCCTAGTACGGCCAGACCCGTTCGTAGCTTCTTGTTACTAGTAGCGAGCTATATAACTGCATGTAAATGTGAAGATCAGGACGCATGAACTGAAACAAGAGGTCACGCATTCAACCCCCATCATGTCACACATTTGCCACAATTTTGGACCGGGCATGCGCAAGAGTGCTCGATCGAGCTTTGGCACCTGACACTGGTAGCGGAGCAAGGTCTCCCTGCTGTCCAAGCCATTGCGTTTTAAGTGTTGCTGGGGACAAGCGAGAAATGAGAAAGAGCAAGTTTAGATATTTTCTGTGAACATTAGTTATTGCAAAGGCACAGCTTTCAGTGAGTCTGTGCCATCACGCCGGACTTCCCTCAAGTTATTGCATTGACAAGGGCAAACTCCTATCACAGCAGAAAGAGGCTCTCTTTGCATGCTTGCATGGTTTCTTTTGCAAGGCTTTTGTTTGAGTTTCATATTGAAATGACTTCACAATATGCAGGACCACAATGTCACAATACACTGCATCAGCACGAAGGGTTGACCGAAGATCACCACTGCACTCTACGTGATCCTCGCCTAGCTGAAGAGTATGAACCAAGAGACCAAGAAGTAGACCAAGAGTATTTTCTGGACTTTTAAACATTTGCATAAAGAGGTCTCCGTCTAGGTATGTCTAGGTTGGTTATGTAGTCCAGGTGAGGAAGCGGAAGAGTTTGGAAGCTACACAACTCATCTCACGCTCCTGGCAGTAAAGATTCGTAAACGTCGTCGTTCACTCATCTAGTAGCTTCTTGTTGCCTATAGTGCCTTACTGTTACTTAGTAGCGATGGCCTCCAACCTAATAGCCATGGCTTGGCCTCCAACCTAGTAGGTTCTTGTTCCTAGTAGCGTCCGAGGGTTTCATTTTTGGGCCCAAACACCGTGTAGCGCCAGCGTGCCAAAAAGACACCAGCACTATCGAGGTGGGCATATTGGTGTTCTTCGTGGGTTTAATGTTCTTTGGAGACTAGAAGGTTTGCAGCAACACATACATCGTGGTCTCATTGAATTCCTCACCCATGTGACTGTGGAATGCAACAGAAGCCTTACAGGAATGCACCAGAGATGCAGCGAAGAAAACACCAGCGGTATTATGTGTTGGAATACTGCGCAAAAAGAAGACTGGTCACCCAAACATAAAGGCAAGTCACAACTAGTCACGCGATATCTATAATTCACAGTTCCCTCAAACAATAGGGGCCTCACCACTTGCGACTCGTAACCAGCGTGCCCAGAATCACCTGCGCTACCCCCTCGACCAACACACAACCTGGAGCTTTGGGGCTCTAAGTCTAATGCCAGGTGACCACAAGGGGAAAGTTTACAAACAAAAACAGCGGTAGGGAGATTTACCGGTGGTGTTTTAGCTCCAGACACGCCCTAGCCGCAACAAATCCACTGGCGTCCGTTTCCCTTTTCTCAGGCGGGGCGGTAGCTCTTTGAACGACCAAAAACATGTGTTTCCTCAGTCAGGTTGGCCAGTTTGTTGACACATGGCAGGTTGAACCTTTGGGCGTGCTCAGTGCTAGGGCCGGCCACATTGCAGCGGCAGCAATTTACTCGAAGGTTTTGAAAGCCATGTTGGGCAATCAAATTGCACGTCACAAAATCACACCACTACAAATCGCCACACCACAATTCACGCCGCGCATCAGCACACGATTCTCATCATAAAACACCATCGGACATCACAACAGATTGTGGTTGCGCGTTGCGTTCGTTGGGGCTGTTTGGGCCTTTGCCCTCAACCATGACAAGTCTCCACCCTCTTTCAGCCCCTCCCAACCCTGTGCAAAAGCCAGAGTTGCACAGGCCAAAATTGCATGAGCTTTGCTGCTGCCAGTCTGCTGCTGGCTGCTGCAGGTTTGCTGCTGCTGCTTTGTTGCTGCTGCTGCTGCCAATAAAGTTGTTCAGAAAGGGTTCAATACGAGATGTTTCAGAAACCGAGTATGAACCTTTTGAAGTGGCTTCTATGGAGGAAGGCCAAGGCTGCAAACTCAGGTGAAAGCGGGGAAAGCGGCCGAAACCATCAAAGCGCACCCATTGCAGGCACGACAAGAACTGACACTAGACTTGAAACGTCAAGCGCTCTAAAGGGAGTCGAAATAAAACAGGCGAATTAAACGGTTTCTGTCATTTTGTGTCTTTTTTTGCAGAAGGGCTCCGTTTGTCGCATTCTTTGCCATTTTGCCTCGGGGTTTGCATTGAAGAGTTGCTCGTGGAAGGTGGCTGAACCCGCTCAAGACGTGAAGCCTTGCGGCCTGAAGACCGTAGTAGCGTCGTTGCTCCCAGTAGCGTCCTTTGCTCCTAGTAGCTTCTTGTTACTAATAGCTTCTTGTTACTACTAGTAAGGCACTTGTTACTAGTAGCATCCTTTGCTCCTAGTAGTGAGGCCAGGAGCCCCTAGTAGCGTCCTTGCTCCTAGTAGCGATGCCCTTTGCTCCTAGTAGCGTCCTTGCTCCGCCAAATTCACGATGTCCACAAGCAATTCCTTGCTTCAAAGCAATTCAAAGAAGCGCTCTAGTTTGAAGCTTGTTCAACCGCGGCTTGATTGGTTTCCTTATGGTTTGGGTTAGCCTGGAAAGGGCAAAGGGCAGGTTCTTCTTGTCAGTGCAAGTTTGCAGTGGTGACCTGGTAGGCGTGCTCAAGCGTTTTTGTTTGTCCATATTGAAAGGCAAGGGTAACAATGTGAAAGAATGTGTTTACCCTTTGACCCTTTGTTATCCTCCTGCATGTGACTAGCTACATGTTTGGTCAAAGTTTTTTGCATGTGTTTGCAATTTCTTTGAAATAGATACTCCATTGAGGAATAGTTTGTGTTTTTGTGAGAGCCCTTTCCCAGCTGATTCCTCGATTCCTGGACCCTACCTTGTTGGCATAGGGTGCCACCGTACACGTCAGTGTGAGAAACGGGCATTACGCTTTAAATTGCTCTAAATACATGGATTCCCAAATAGAAAGACTAGATTTTACCTGCTACATACATTGAAGATGTCTTCAAAACATGCTGCACCAAAAACAACAACATATCGTCAGTCACCATGAGCGAAGTAGACACGGCCGTCACAGGTTAGAGTGAAGGCTTCAGAGTGTTTGCAGAGTGGAAATAGCAAACAAAACTAAATCAGGCAAAAAGGACATGATACATATGACGTTCCAAAAGTCACAGGCCAAGAGCTGCCAGTCTTATGATTCGGCAATGTAATATCTTCAATTTTGTTCAACTCCGTGTTCCGCTACTTACTTCCGTACGTCACAGCCCATGTTTCAAGATGTGCAAAATGTCACCTATGAATCGCCCTGGCATGGCTCAAGCCGAGCACCCGAATGAGCAAAGAGAACACGTCGAACACACGACGCGGTTAGGCGGTTCATTGCAGTTTGGGGTCCAAACATATTTTGCAGGGTGGAGCGGTGGAATGCAAGCTGATTACGAACAGAACCCCCCAAAAAAGACAACAAAAAGGTCTAAAACTGCTTCAGCCGCAAGCTTTCTTTCTTCCATTCATGGCGCGGAAGTTGAAGGAATATTTGTTGGCAGCGGTGGTGTTGGTGTTTCTTGGGTCGAGGCGTGAAGCTTTTGTTTCGGTGCCCTCTCTGAGAACCGGAAGAGGTGCCACGGCACCCACTGGGCGCACATCGCCCAGATCTGTCGCAGTCCGTGCACATTGGGGCCTAGGACCACTTGGGCCGGTCGAAAGTGCGGCAGCTTTCCGAATCTATTTCCTTCCATTTGTGGATCCATTGGAGATTGATGAGACCTTAATAGATCAGCTCTTTGGTGGTTGGTTTGGTCCTTTAACTCCGCTGCTGTTGGGTTTGTTGGTTTTCTGGGTCCAAAGCCAAATCAATGCCGTGCGTCGTGAACAAGAAGGCCGTGTCATTGGCTCTGCTGCAAAAGCCGTCGGCGACTGGGGAAAGTTCCAGCCGAACAATGGTTCAAGCTCCTCCTTTGTTTGGCTTTGGATCTTGCAGGCGCTGATAAGATGGTTATGAGATGTTATGAGTCATGTATGAGTTATGTGTCAATTGCGCAAAGCAGAGCTGAAGGTTTTAAAGTTTACCGGTGTTCCTGAAAAATGTCCTCCTTCACTTTGGAACACTGGATGCCGGCACGACCTAGGTGATGCCACATTTTTACTTCCAGGTGCTGGCGAACTGGGAGATTTGGCCTTTGCTCCCTTTGAAGCATTAGCTTTGCGGTCATTGTTTGGTGGAGGCCTTTTGTCAATTCTGGGCTTTGCTGAGGAGGCTTTACCTTTCACAGATGCATTACCCACAGCGACCACTGGTTGGGTCCTTCAAACACTCTTCAGCGACTCTCCCCTGGCGCAACTTCTGGGCATTCAGCCACTTGAGATGGACACGCCGAACACGAAGAAACCCGAGAGAGACCAGAAATGACATTCATAGCCTCAATCACGCGGCAAGATGGCAGACATTTACCGAATCTGTTCCCAACCGTCAATCCAAGCACCGCATGGGAAAAAGGAGCTCTGTCAGAATGCTACGAGTATGAGTTGCCGTGTTCAAACCGCTTTGTCGAATGACACAAGAAAACTCATAAGAATGATCAAACTCTGTAATCGCGATTCTGATGTTCAACAAATTTGTTTTGTGGTCCCTTTCTTCGTGCCCTGCTTGTACACTTTTTGTGCCAGTTGGCATTGTGCTCAAAAAGCGTGCCGTCGACACCAACCGAACCGGCAGTGCAAACCTCGAGAAGAATGGGTCGGTCCACTGGATGTTCCGGCTTCAATGTTCTTCCAAGGACACGTGTGGCTCCTAGTAGCTTCTTGTTCCTAGTATGGCCAGGAGCCCCAAGTTCTCGT